TATTCAAAGGAAGTGTCACGTGACAAATCCACTTAAAATCGGACCGAGCTGGCCATCGCGAAGAAACGTTCTTGACGAGCTAATACTTATTGCGAGCTCAATCCCACTTAACTTCATGAAGTTCGCCGACCTGATTTGCAATTAGTCTCGCCGGACTGGGGGGGGGAGGGGGACTTACTGTTAGAGGGGAAATGAGCATATTTCCTAAAAGACTTTCTCTAGCAATAACCCAAGCCCATCAAGACCAAGAAGACAACGCCAACCTAGCTCAGATAAAAGGAAAACTCCTAAAGATAATCTTTGAAGTTTGGAAGCATCGGATTAACTCGAAGGATAAAGGAGAATTTCCATATTCTTCGGAGAATAAGGGATATTTCCATATCGCAAATATGGAAATATTCACCAAAAGGAAAAAAAAAAGGAAAATGAGTAACCGACCTCCTATCCCTATAAATATGAAGACCCCGAAGCTCAAGAGAACAAGGCATACAATCTAGAGAGCAACAAAGTAAAAACCAAGAACTCCAACGCTTTCCAGTTTACTTCGCAAACACTTTCTTTTCACTTCGGCATAACCTCTCGGTTAAGCCATCTCTTGTAATCGCTTCATCTATGAGCTATTAATAAAAAGATCTTATTCTCCGAAACCCACAACTGTTAATCAAATCCTTAGTAGTGATTTCTTGATTCAACAGTTTCGTAAACTCTTTTTTAAACACATTTGCTTCATACATTCATTGTGTTTGAGGTAGAATGACAATATCATAGATACTCATTTTAAAATTGTAATTATTAATAGAGGCTGGAATAATCTAATCTAAGAGAATAGCAGCAGTGACATAACGATGATTGTGGAAGGGCACTGACAAGAATGATGATTAAAGCGTTAAGAAGGAACTTGGCAAACATAAATCCTCAAACAGAGCTCTATCTTCGCTTGTTGGAAGGCTAAACCCAAAACATGGAAATAAATGGGCTTAATTATTAATCTAACCTCAGATGATCCATCAGAAAGCATGAGTGGAAGTTGTGGACCTCTATTTCGAGTAAATCCTCTACAATAGGGTTTTGAACGGGAAGATTATCTAATTTTAGTGACGTGAACACATGAATGTAGATATCAAGATATCATGTGAACATTAGTTGAGGTAGAAACGAATGTAAATCACCATATGAACTAAAATCAAATTACCTTATGAGTATGCAATGGCTAAAGCTGGCTCTTCGATGTGGTAATAAGTCTTTTACCGTCATCATGTTCTCGATTTTAGAAGCTAAGGATTATGAGAGCTAGATTAGAAAATTCGAATATGTAACCACATAAAATAAAATATAAATCTTGAAGTCGTCGTTAATCTGTAGGTAAAATAACCGATCATAATTCTGATTTGCTTTTCTATAGTAACTTAAAAAAAGGATAAGATCATCACAAACCTTTAAAATTGTCGGGCGTGAATAGTTAGTTCTTCATCGGAAGCGTTTGGAGAATAGGAGAACTTATAACAAAATGATGGCATGAGAGAACTTATAACTGCATAGGAGAAGAAACCTAAACATTTTTTTTGGTGTGATGTGGTTTATAGTTATGAAATGGAAAGATGACATGACATGTTCGAATGTTCTTAGTGAGAGATTATTTTCCTTATTATTTTTGCTGAGGTGGAGTGTCTCAGAGCTCAAAATATTTCTCTTTTATATAAAGTAGACTGCCACTACTAGTCCAATAAATCTTTCTATACTAATTTCATTGTACTTCCTCCACCAAATTTAAAATATTTAAAAAAAAGAGTTGCATGTAATAATAGATTTGATATAATTGATTAAAATTATATAAGCATATACAGTTGTTTCTCTTTAGAAATAAGAAAACAATATAATGGTTTAGCTTTAAAAATCTTTAGATGAGTATTAGTTGTCAATTTTCTCTAAAATTAAAAACATAAATTTTATTAACATTTGAAATTTCAATTTTTAGTTAGTAAATATTTGTTAGGTTTTATATATTACAGACTATGGGGTGCAAATTGGATCAGTGATTTGAGTTTTAAATTAATATATATATGATTTAGATATAAAATTATAAAACTGTTAATGCAATTAAATTATGGTCTATCAATTGATTTTTAGATGAGTATTAACTGTTAATTTTCTCTAAATTAAACGCTTGGTATTTTTATTAACCTTTGAAAATTCACCTTTTAATTACTAAATATTTTATGGGTTTCGAAATAAAAAACAAAAATATCAATGCAATTAAATCATGATTATTATTTGGGTTTTTAATAAAACAATAACATACTAATGCAATTAAACATATAAAAATATTATTTTGGGTTCTATATATAAAAGTTTAAAACTATTAATGCATTCAAAATATCGTTTAGCTCTCTATTAATTTTAGGGTTGTTAATCTTTTTATAAATTAAACGGTTTATTATTTTTATTAACACTAGGTAATTTATCTGTGCTATACTGCAAGATATTATTCAAATTTTTATATATTTTTAATATAAAAATTATTTTTATAGTATAAATAAATATTATATTTATTTTGTATTTACCATAGCTTTTGTATTTATGCCCTATTTGTTTTTCCATCTAGATGGTTCATTTGAATGAAGGTCTGTTTGTTTCTCCATTGACATGAACCATCTAGATGGAGATGAAAATTTTGTTTATTTTGTGATAAAATATGAGTAATATCTGGATGGATCATTCGAATGAGTTTTAAAAATTTAGGCAAATTTGTTAAACTCATTTGGATGAACCAAATCGAATAATCTGAATAGAGATGATGTAGATGTACCCTTATCTACATAAAACATGTAGATGCAAATTCTAAATTATCAGAATAACATGATCTAGATGATATAATTTATAATTATTCCGAAAAACTATAAATAATTGCAAATTGTATTTTCGGTCCAAAAACAACAAAATCAAATTTTCTTACTAATATTGCAAAATCGTATCTTTCATCAAAAAAAAATTATAAATCAAAATTTATCTAGCCAAAACCGTAAAATCGTGTTTTCTCATGAGAACTGTAAAATTGCGTTTCTCAGACAAAACCGTAAAATTACATTTTTTGCCAAAACCGTAAAAAAAAATTTCCGCCGAAATCGTAAAAGAACATTTTTCCATCAAAATCATAAAATTGCATTTTCCCACCTAAACCGTAAAATCATATTTTCCCATCAAAACCGTAAAGCTATGTTTTCCCATCAGAACCATAAAATCATATTTTCCCACCAAAATCATAAAATCGCTTTTTCTGCTAAAATCATAAATTCGTGTTTCCCGCCAAAACCATTAAATCACGTTTTTTCGCCAAAACTGTAAAATTGTGTTTTCCCGCCAAAACTGTAAAGAAGCATTTTCCAGCCAAAACCATAAACACCAAACTGACAACGGAGGAAATTATAGTATGTCTAATGTTGATAGCTGTGAATTGAGGTTTTTGCGGATGATTGGGAGCAGATATGGAGCTGCGAAAGTGGAAAAGATATGTGAAATAAATAAAAAGTATCGATTTGTTTGGGCTTTTGAATGGGTTTGGCAAAAAAAAAAATGAACAAAGATTACCATATCAAATATTAATATGATGTGTTAAAAGAGTTTTGACTTGTTTGAGCTTTATAATGGGTTTCGCAAAAAAAAAAGTTAACAAAGGTTCATATGAAATATTAATATGATGTGTATTATTATTTTGTTTTGACTGATTTTTGATTTTGATTATGTATTAGTCTTTTAAAGATTGAAAAAGCTGAGATTTCTTCTGGAAAGATACTTGTATTATTAGTTTGCTGTAAATAGAAAGAGTAGAAGAGAAGAAAGAAGTTTGAGACTGGTATTACTTTACTCGAAATAAAAAATCAATTCAGCACATACATGCGTGGCAGTAGTAAAAACACTTTATATATTTCAAAGTTAGAAAATATCCCTCTTAATAAAATAGTTAAAGAAACGCCTGCCTAATTTAAATTCAATAATTCAATTTCGGCTCTACATTAAAAAATGATATTTTCAATAAGCATAAACAATAAACATGAAATAGTTTTTTTTAATCAAAAATAATTTTTAAAGATATTTGCAACAACAAAAATATGTATGTTTCAGTTATTTTGCAATAATAAAAAATATAATATGAAAATATTCAATCATATATATTTCTTTTTGCAATTTACAACTTTTAAAAATATTTATTTTTTGGGCTTTTAAAGAATGTCATTTGTTTGAGTTTTGAGTTTTATAATTTTAAAAAGTATCTATTTATTTTGGGCTTAGAACATCATTTGTTTGTGTTTTGAATGGATTTAATAAAAAAAATAACAAAGTTAGTATATAAAATAATATGATGTGTATTATTAAAATGTTTTGATTGATTTTTTATTTTACTGATGTGTCAATTTCTCATAACATAAAAAGCTGATATGTCTTTCATTAGAGAGACATTGCTGTTTTTATAGTATTGATTTGAAAGTTGAAAAAACTTTTATATTTAATTAGTAAAGTTTTGTGGGTTTTAAATATATATAAAAATATTTATGCTATCAACTAATGCAATTATATTTTTGGGTTTTAGTTAGAAAAAAATTTAAATAACAGTTAATGCTATTTATTTGCATAGAATTAATTCTCTTATTTTTAAAATAAATATACTATTAATGCAAATCACTGTGATGAATTTTCCAATGTTTATTATATTTATTTTCTCTTGATCTTTTTATATTCATTTTATTTTTAACTTCATTCTTTATTATTTAATTTTTATGTTTCTGTTTTCTTTTTCATATTCTGATTTTTTCTAAATGTAATCTATTAAGATAGACAATAGACCTTATATGCACACAAATATTCATAAAGTTCATAAAATTTGGGTTAACAACAATAAAGATTCACAAATTTTAGGAATAAAATATGTGAAGTTTAAAACTATATTCATGATTTGTAAGTGTATAAATACGTGATGGATAATACATTGATATACACACTATCTAGCCTTATATTCAATCTTATATAATCATCACACAATGGTATGTACGAAATCTAATAAAGTCTCCCTGAAACTAAATTTTATATTTCTTTCTAACAATATTTTTTTTTGAAAAAGGGTTTACAAAATTTAAGCGATTTTGCCACTACACTAAGGAAATTTTCTTTCTTTCTAACAATATTGCTTTTGGATGTGTTGTAGGAACTCAAATTTGCTGTGTTGGTATTGACTTTGCTCTATTGTGGACTTGTAAATGCGCAAATCTATGATGTGCTTAAATTCGGTGCTAAGGGCGATGGTACTACAGATGATTCAAAGGTATTATATTGCAAAACATTATTGAGATTTTGGTAAATTAAAGTTTATATGCAATTTTTTTACCATGCATATATTTGAAGTAGAAAAAAGCTGTATATACACATATATAGTTTTCTTGTAGTAAAGATAAATTACGAATTGGAATCATATACTCAAATACAGTAATTGAACGTGCTAAAAGACTGGTTATGCTAAAAGAGTTTACAAGATGTCATAAAAATTCTCCGAGATTCATTATATAAAAAATTTCAATCAAACCAAAATTTGAGTATCCATTATTATTATTTATTTATTTATTACTGCTTTTTCCGATAGGTATATCATATTTTGATACAAAACTATAGTTATTTCCCTACTAATTCTTATAAACTAGAAATTAATCCACAGATTTATCTGTTAATTTATATAATATATATATATTTTTAGTTTTTTTATTATCATAAAATATATAAACTTATTTTGTAAAATACTTTTTCTAATATAAATGATGAAATGTTAATTATTTTAAAAAAACTTTCTCTTATAGTTATACGATGTTGTAAGTATTTATGTCTATATATTAAATATTTTTATTTAATTGAGTTCTTATATGATTTATTTCCAGTAAGATAAATAAAATGGTTTCATAATCGATCCTATACACTTTCTTTATTTTTTATTCAAAATAGATTTTTATATTGTATAAAATTTGTAGTTTTGTGATTTGTAGAAGAAGTTTTACTTTTAAACTAATGTCATGTGGAGATCCAATTTATAGTTTCTCTTTAGTATAAAGTCATTCAGGTGTATATTCTTTTTTCGTCAGAGTATATACATTTTTTTATCAAAAATATTGCTAATAGATTTTGATGTTTATCTATCCTTTTTTATATATAGATTTTAGTCAGCTTTCTTTGACTTTTTGTGTTTTTTTCTCTTTTGATTATTTTTCTAAATTTTTCAATTACGTTTTCATATTTTCTTTGATCCTTAATTATTAATTTTGTAAACAATTTCTAGATTTTTGGTTTGTAAATTTTTTTTTTACTTTTAAATTAATGTGATATAAATTCTTAAGAAAATATAAACCTAAAATTTTTAAAAGTCCATAAAACATAAAATAAAATACGGATTTGGACACTCTAGATGGAGAGAAGCTCCTCTAATTATATATATATGATTTGATTTTGTTTTTTTTTTCTTTTGGAAAAAGGCTTTTGTAGAAGCATGGAAATCTATGTGTAGTTCTGGTGGAGAAAACAAAACACTTCTCATTCCTTCAGAGAATACGTTTTTACTACAACCTCTAGTGTTTCAAGGCCCTTGCAAATCTTCTTCAGTACAAGTTCAGGTAACATTATCGAAATATCAATATATTTTTTAGATTGATTTAAAAACTTATGCTATAAAAAATGATTGAAAAATTATATGTGGATATGAAATGTATATGTGATCAATTTTGCAGTTTGATGGAAAAATCGTTGCCCCTATCAACAAAGCAGCATGGTCAGACTCTGAGAAACAAGTATGGGTTGGTTTTAATGGCCTAATTGGTTTAACAGTCACTGGTTCAGGAATGATCGATGGACGTGGTTCGTCTTTCTGGGAGGTGAGTTTTTTTGTTTATATAGAGCTAAAGAGATGAAACTGATTTAATTACGAATCTAATTGTTTTCATATTTTTTTATATATCCAGCCAGGATTGTCAACTTCTGAACGGCCAACTGTAAGTATATATTTTTTTTTTTTCATTATTACTTTAATTTCTAGATCGAAAAGTTCATGATGAAAGTGTTTTCTATTTATTTTATTTTTTGTAGCAATTACAATTTCAAGGATGCAGTAATCTTCAGATAATTGGAATAACCTCAGTCAATAGCCCGAAAAACCATATTTCGATCAGCAATTGCAAAAATGTTGACATAACGAAGATAGAACTTGTTGCACCTGATCTGAGTCCTAACACCGATGGAGTTAATATCGCAGATTCAAGTAATGTCAACATATTCGACACTAAAATTGGAACTGGTACGTATAGTTAGATATGTATTGTTTTGCAACCACTATATTTTCAATCTAAAATTGGCATAATGCATGGTTAATAAGATTTTTATTTCTTATAAAATTTCAGGAGATGATTGTGTAGCTATAAACAGTGGAAGTAAAGATATCAACATCACAATGATGATTTGTGGTCCTGGACATGGAATAAGGCATATATTTATTTTATATAAACTAATGCAACTATATAAGTATTGATTTCTTAGATTTTATCTTGAAATTTGTTTTTGTATCTTTACAATTAATTACAGTGTGGGAAGTCTTGGAAAAGATGGAGAAGAATCTGAAGTTGAGAATGTTCTCGTGACTGATTGCATTTTTAATAAGACTGATAATGGAGCTAGAATTAAGACATGGCCGGTAAAATTTGTTTATTATATTTGTCTATATAAAAACTAAATAAAGTGGTAATATATTAATATAATTTGTCTTACTGATTTATATTGAAGTTGATTGTTTAGAATGGAAAAGGATATGCAAGAAATATAGTTTTTAAGGGCATCGAGCTCATAGAAACAAAAAATCCAATTATAATCAACCAAAACTACATAGATAAGGGACGTCTTGGTGTTGAGGTAAATTATATTCCATTTATTTTTTTGTAAAATAGAAAAAATTGAAATTTTAATTGGGTTAATTTTAAAAGTATAAGTTGTGTGTTAACAGAAATCAGCAGTGGCAATTAGCAACGTGACGTTTACAGATGTTTTTGGAACTTCGCGAATTGATGAGATTTTAAAGATAGATTGCAGCAAAGTCACATATTGCAAAGACATTGTTTTAGAACATATTGATATTTCTACGATCGATGGAACTAAGCCCATAGTTGAATGTAGCAACGTATATGGAAAGTCGAACAATGCTAGCCAGATTGATGGCTGTTTCATGCAAAAGTAATCTGATTTAGGTATGAAATATATACATTTACTATAGCAAAAAAATGAAAGATAAACTTAGTTTCTTTGTAATAAATATATAATTATATCCAATAAATGTATTAATATATTAACTATTGTTATACATGTAATACTAGGTGATCGGCTCCCACTGTATATAGACTAGAAAATATTTTATATACGTAATATATGATTAATGTTGTATATTATTTTATTACTAATTGTACATGATTATTTATAATTTAAGTAAAAATATTGTAAAAATATTTAATAATAAAAACAACTATATATTAAATGAAAAGTATTATAGTTTCTAATATAAAGTGTAAATATGATAACTAAATAAACAGAAAATATTAAAACATATATAAAAGTAGAGTTAAAATATATCAAAAGTATAAAAACTAAACAAGATTTTGAAATATTTCTTTATAAATAATGTTCATAGTTTTCTTTTGCACATTTGCTTCTTTTTCATTTACGAGAACTTTAAGTCTGAATCTAAAGTTAACTCTAGATAATGCAGCATATAGTTTTTCTTAAGAGAAAACTGGTCTAGGTAGAAACAAGCCAACATTCTCAAGTGATTATCCTTGGCTTTTATTGATGGTCTTTATGAAAGCTAAATCCAATGGGAATTATCTACAACACTTTCTGAAAGAAAACTTTTGTGTATGGTGGTGTCACATATATCATAGGGATAAGAACTATTTGACCAATCAGTTTCTCATTTCTCGTTATAATTCTATTTTCAACCACATATCGAGTCATTTGAGTAATAATAAGTCTAGTTCTATTTGCATATTTCACTATTATAATCAATGTTACAAAGACATATGACTGGAGCACTAATCTTTAATTTCAAACAATGCTTCGGTAACCCAGAAACTTTGATGCTAGCCAAAAACTCAGTTGGGTAGTCCACATTATTCAATATGTCTTCACTTGAGATATTTATATAATAAAAATATAAATATGTGCAGTTATGATTTTTTATTGTTAGTTGTAATGTTTAAGTGTTCATTAGCTTTTTTACACATTTTGCAAATGTTATGTCTGTATACAAATGCAGTTTTAGTATTTAAACGTTTCATATCATTTTAAACTTATTAAAACTGATTTATTTTGAAACTTTTAATTTTTCTAACGTTTATAGTAACATATTACTGTAAATGTAAAATTAATATTAAATAACAAATAAATTCTTACAATATATTTTGAATATTACCTATAGTATGTTTTAATTTCTCTTTACACAATATAATATTTTCTTGACCTATTCTCAATTAGACAAAAATAGGTTTTACCAACTTTACTTATCCTAAGAGCGGGTAGAACTTTGACCTGCATGTAAAAAGTTTTAAAATAAATATATAAGTTGTTTAATAATGAAAACTAAAAAATGAATTGTAATCAAAATTAATAAAATGCATGCACGATAAATTTACATACGACTCCAGCTATATAGCAATTAATATTCATATTTGCATGCATATTTGTGAAAAAAATTTAAGTATGGCTTTTATGTGTTAAAAGAAAATAGCAAAATATTAATTTTTTAATAAATATTTTTATAATATATGTTTTATTTTTTATTAAATACGTATGTGTGTGCATACATGTACGAGTTAGAATAAAATTATAATTTTAAAATAGAATAAATACATATGTTTTTGATATTTTCTACAAACGTTATGTTTTTACACGGTATAATATTTGGCGTTTAATAACAATCATGAAAACTATTTCTACTGTTTTGTATTTAATCCCAAAAAAATATATTTAGCATTTTTGATGATATTTTAATTAAAAATTATATTCAATATTAACCAAAATTACAAATAACTTCTAAAAAGTAAAACAAAATATATATTTTACTACGCTAGGAAAATACATATAGTACATTGGATAATTTAATATTAATTTTCCTTTTTTCAATAATAATTATAATAAATATTTTTTTTATAAAATTTGTGCAATAATATTTTATAAAATTCTTCGGCAGCTCTCCGCACATCTCTTTGTTCATTATTGAAGAATTGAATTAATGAAGAAAATAATTTTTTTATGGTTGGCATGCACGCATGTATTCATTATAAAATTTTACATGCACATGAGTTCATTATAAAATTTGCTTCTTAAAATTTTTAAATGACTCAGTAAAACAAGGCACGAGAATTTTACAGAAATACAAAACTGTAGAGAAATATTTTTATTTTTACTTCTACATCGTAATCATATTTTATATAATATATTATTAATATATGTAAAAAACCAAAACTATAATAATAGTTATTTTCTGTTAGTTTAACTTTGTTAGTTTCAGTGTTACAGTAAAATATATATAACTCGATAGATATATAATTGCTATAAATTATTATATTTTGCTGATCCAAAATTTGAGAAGTGTAAAATTAGCAAATTTTAATAAGATAATACTTTTTTGGAACTCCTATGTAAAAATATGGTCTTAACAATTATACTATTGAGTCCACTTTTAGCATAACCAATACTAGAGTAACACGTGGACACCGGGTCCATCAGAGAGCTGACTTTTTCTTTCTGATTTCCTAGCAGACTGTTTCCGAGCAGGTGGCGTGCTTAACAAGACATGCATGCTAAACCAAGCCACCTGCTTCCACGGCGCGCTGCATGGATGGGATAGGAGGAGTTAGAGGGTGTATAAAAAGAGATCGAAGGCCAAATAGAAAGGAGAGGTCGGAGATGATAGATAAGTCGGAGATGACAATGATCTACCAGATTCATGACCCAAGAGAATCTGATGAAGATCCATACACACTACTAAGACATGAGGAGGGGGAGGAATCTTCGACTCCCGCACCTTCAGAGCTCACTTTGAGCTCCCTAAGTCAGCAAAACCAAAGTTAAACGCTCACCGTCCCCTGGAGGATACGTCTACCAAGATAAGCGTTCTCCTCCCTTTTGTTTATTACCCCATACCCGTGTGAAGAGAGTTGAGACCCCACTCTTCCCACGGTCCATCCATTACACTCTGCCACCACCAAATACCAGACGAGTGCCACGATCCCCAGACGGGGAATTCAATTCATGAACCACCTCTAAATCTACCTTTCTGAGTATCTGTTCTTTGTAGCGCGTTTACTAACTTGAGTTTCAGAGAACCTTCGGGAGGAAAACTCCTTTTTGGTCCATCTGGAGGTTCGGCTCACTCCTTTGCTCATGTTCACAGGTGCCATCAGACTTCCGCCCCACAGCCTTACGTCACTCATCTCCCCAGAAGATGCAACCCGGAGCCGCAACTCCTTACATCCGGACAAACACATATCCTCTGTAAGTATCCCATAATTTATATCCGAACATATACATTAAGACATATATAAATAATATAATATACTAAAATGTGATTATATTATTATTTCAAGTTTATAATTATTTTTTATTTATTTTTCAAATTCATCGTTATAATATAATCTAAATGAATTTTATATTATTGAAAATATTAATTTTTGTCTTTTGATGAATATTACGACTTTGAACCAAAAAATATTTCTATAAATTAATAAAATATTATTCGATGATTAATTTATTGATTAATTAATAACTTTATAAATTAATAAAATTTAAAAATCCTAATATTATTAATTTATAGAATTTTTATTATTTAATCTAGTATATTTATGTTATAGTTTCATAATCAATACACTAATAACCCTTGTGTCTCTCCATAGCTTGCCATATCAGATTTTTATAACTTTCTGTTGGGACCCATTTTACCGGGTCGAAAGAGAACTCGACATGTGGATCTAGGCTGCGTTAGACGCTGACACACGCCACTCTAGTTCGGCCACCCACTCCCGCATACTGTTACCGGGCAGTTAGCAGGCTTTTCCAAACACGCCAGAATCATTATCCTCACCTGCTCTTCTGGCATGCCACGTGAAAGGGACAAGACGAAGCGCCCGCGACTGTAAGTAAAGATGAGGAGAATCCCTCAGAAAGGGCTAAAAAAGAGATGATCAAGGGATGAGGATAAAAGAATCCCTCTGAGAGAGGCGGTATCTGCTCATGCCAAGATTGGTCGATCCAGGCAAGCAGCATGATCACGGGCGAACTGCATGCTCCTCCCGAGTGAATGCCGACCACGTTAACTCATTCCTAACCCGGAACCCCGCCTTCATACTCGCTCCATCTTCCTTTCACCATGTAGAAACCCCTTCGAAACACCCGAAAGCAGATAGAAACCTCAATCCCTGGACGAGGCTTCTCACACTTAGAAAACTCCCCTCCCCCTCTCCAGTACTTAATCCCAGTAGGATGTTCATTGACTTGAGCATCGGAGAACCTTCGGGAGAAAAACTCCCTTTCAATCCTCCCAGAGGCTCGCCTGACCTTTGTTTAAGTGTGACCAGGACCAAGCGCATCGTTCACCCCTTTGCCTCGGGACAAGAAGATCCATCCTGGAACAACGACTCGCTGCCTTTCCCCCCCATATGACGAAACTCGGAGGCTCAGCTCCAACCCCCGACGAATCACATATCTCCACGTCGCATCCCGAAATTTGCAATATGAACTTGTAGTTCAACACTTTATCAACTATTTTTAAATGTTTTACTGCATTAAAAATTTGGGTAGACAATTCGAGTTCTTCGATTATTTTGTTTGGTGGAAAATTATGAGAGGTTTTATGTGTTTATATAGATATGGATTGCATTTTTCTTTTAAGATGAGTGTTTTAGCTTTTTTTCATTTTTTAAATTGAAATATCTTATTTTATTAACTTTTGTATTTTTTTTTAAATTGTATTTTCTTTTTTCTTTTAGGATTAGTATTTTAAGTTATTTTCCTTTTCAAAACTGAAATATATTTATTTATTTATTTTTATTTTATTTTTAATTTAATCATGATACATGTTAAAATCTGATCGATTGACTCGTGACGTGTTGCAATCATGTGAATTACTAACTTAGACGGATCCAACTTTATATAATAAAATACATCGAACATGTTTAAGCCAGCTGGTTTAGGCCCGGCCAGACAAAGCCCGCTCCGTTTAATTTTCTTTTTTTTCTAACGTTTTTAGGTCAAACTAGTTAACTAAATTTAGTATTAAAAAAATCAAAATAATTTGTGAGGCACGTGATAATCCGTTTACTAAAGCCTAGGTAACTAGAATTAGTTACTACTCTAGTATCTTTTAGAGGTGAGCAAGCGAGAATTCGGGACAGGATTTTAGAGAATAGGATAGGAATTTCCAAAATTATTAAAAATATAATATTTGTAAAATTTTATACAGACTC